ACAGCCCTGCCCCGCTCTCTCTCAGCTCTGTGCCGTGCTCACTCTCCCAGCACCCTTTCTCGAGCTTTTAGAATCTAGCTCTTTTATTGCTTTGAGAAGGCCCTTATTTGGTTGGTTTATAAAGCCATTTCAACTATCATTTCTCTAACTTCTTTCCCCTTTGAACACTTGTATGCCTACCTGATCCTATTGCTCATTTAGCCTTTATTCATGCCTTCCTGTGCCCCCTGTGTCTCTTCTAAAAATAGCACGCGATCCTTCCTGACTGCAGTCAGCACACTGTAATTATTAAATATTGCTGAGAAAATGAACAAACCACATACACACCTGGAACTGTACTTGGTTTGCATAAAGCATGGACTTGCCAGAACCGGTTTGGCTCAGTGAATAGAGCGTTAGCTTGAGGACTGAAAGGTCCCAGGTTTGATTCCAGTCAGGGGCATGTGCCTTGGCTGCAGGCACATCCCTGGTGGGGGGTGTGCAGGAAGCAGCTGATTGATGTTTCTCTCTCATCAATGTTTCTGACTATCGCTCTCCCTTCCTCTCTGTAAAAAAAAAATCAATTAAAAAAAAAAAAAGCATGGACTTAGAGCCACATTGTCTCAGGTTTGATAACTTACTAGCTCTTGTCCTTGGGTATTTTGCTTAAAAGCCCTTAAGCTATTCTTTCCTTAGTGTTTTTAAATAAGAATTCTGTCAGTACTGACCTTAGAGTAGTAAAGATTAAATAAAATGATGCTTGCAAATCCCTTAGCAAAGTGGTTAGCAAAGAGAGTGAGCAACAAATGTTAGCTATCATTATTCTTATTAATCACAAAATACTTGCTGACATTCTGGGTCTCTGAAAGTCTCTAGTTGTTATCAAGTATCAATCTAAATTAATACAAAATTCTACAAACTAAAATAGAACTCACGCTTCCTATTAAGATCATTTTTAATTTTTTTAAACCTACTCTTAACTCAATGGAACTACAGCCTGAACTAATTGTGGAGTGCAGCTTTGACTTTTTTTCCTCTTTGTCCTATTAAGATATTAACTTCAAAGCTTTTGTGGGAACACTTAATTGCTTGCATTCCTTAACAAGCAGCCACCATCATAGTTTCCAGATTCACTTTTAACCTTTACAGTCCTGGGAAGGCATATAAGACAACCTTACAAGACATATAAACTTACACAATCTCTGGGATAATTCAGCTATACATATGTGAACATGCTACATGAAAGCAAATCAAGTTTGCACATCAATCAAATAGAATCCAATAGAATAAATCAATCCAATAAAACATTGCTATGCCATATATCCTGGGGGCAGAGGGGTGACCACTAATGCTATTAATTTTTTAAACTTGTTTATAGAGGTATAATTGACATATAACATTATATTAGTCTCAGGTGTACAACGTAATGATTCAATATTTGTACATATTGTAAAATGATCACCACAGTAAATCTAGTTACCATGTGTCACCACACACAGTTACACAGGAAAGTTTCTCTTGTGACTACCGAGAACTTTTAAGATCTACTTTCTCAAAGCTGCAACAATGTTATTAATTATAGTCACCATGACTTCTTTATTTTATAACTGCAAATCTGTACTTTCTGACCACCTTCACTCATTTTGCCCGCTAGCCTCTCCATCTAGCAACCACCAATCTGTTCCCTGTCTCTGTGAGCTTAGGGTTTTTTCATTTATTTGTCTTTTCTATCTTAATGCTATTCAAAGACTGAATTACAGGTATTTCATGAACTCAGAACATTTCTGAAATTGTATTTTATAGTTTATATATATTCTTAAGGTGTCTTACTAAAAGGTTAAATATAACAGATGCTCTTTCTTCCTAAAAAAAAAAATAACCAGAGATCTTTTAATAAAAATCTAATATAATAATTTTCAATCATCAATTTATTGAAAAACAAACACACATTTTAATTGTGTACAACATCCGCTGAAATAAAAAAAATCGCTTCATTCAAATTCTTAATTCTCTATTCCCCCACAAATACACCTTGAAAACTTTAGTTTTTGAAACATTCAACATCCATCCATTCACTCTTCATTTGATCTAAAACATCATACAACCTGAAATAGAAACAAAAAAGACTGGGAAATCAGCTTGTTTATTCCACCTTATTGTCACACAAAAGTACAAATAATATTCAGTGCAGGTGCTAGTTACCTTAGAACTGCCAATCATGCTTGTTTATAAACTGTGATTTCAGAGCTGTCAATCATGTGTGTTGTGACAAAGATGCCACTGTAGAAATAATGCTTTAAAAGATGTACTCTTCATAAACACATTAAAAAATTAGTGGACTTCACTTATAAAATTGGACTTCAGCCCAGCTGGCGTGGGTCGGTGGTTGTGCATCAACCTGTGAACCTCAGAAGTCAGGGTTTAATTCCTGGTCAGGGCACATGCACAGGTTGCGGGCTTGATCCCCAGTAGGGGGCATGCAGGAGGCAGCCAATCAATGATTCTCTGTCAGAACTGTTTCTATCTCTCCCTCTCTGAAATCAACAAAAATATATTTACAAAATAAAACTGGACTTCAGGATTTTACAGAAATGTATACCATTCATGAAAAATCAAAATACAACTTAATGAAAAGATTTCGAGAATTTGGCCCTTTAGCTAAAAGATAAGCATGGTTTAACCACAAGGATTTTATATTTCAATATTTTATATTTCTAACTGATAGTAATCAAAAGTATTATGACCATGAGTGGGAATGAGAGAATCAAACCAATCTAAATCTGGCATTTGAATTTTTGAAGCTGGCAAAAGTATCAATATAATACATCCCCTCCCCGACTTACCCAACCAACCCAATTTACTATCCACTTAGTCATTTATGTCTGAAACCAAACATCATTCCTTCCACCTCATGACCCACAATCACTCAGTCACCAAGACCTGGGCCTTCTGTCCCCTAAACTGCTAACGAAAATCTCCTTTCTTGATCCTCAGGCGTAATTCATGGAATTCTCATCATGTAATGAAGCCGAGGAAGCCACCCGAGTTCCCAGCAGAGCCGGCTCTCTCTCGCTAAGTATTCTGCAAGCACGGCTCCCTCCCACCTCCCCACTTCTATCTCCTCCTTCGCCCACTCTTTACAACTCAGTCCATGTTAGTTCCTCTGGGAAAGCTCCTGGCAAAGCTGATAGGTTCAGTGACCCCTTCTCCAAACCCCCACAGAAGCCAGGAAACCTGCTATATGCGTATGTTCACTCTCTGTCCCCACAACTGAACCGTCACCTCCCTGAGAGCAAGGGTGGCCCTCAATCTGTGCACTGCTAGCATTAGACACACAGGTGGCTCATTAAATACCTGCTGACTCCATGAAAAACTGTACATGACCCACTTTATTTAAAAATAAAATAAACAGCTTAATTCTTGAGACTCATAAAATGTATTATAGGTATAGTCCATGCCAACCAAAGTAATCAACACCATAAAGCAATATTTTGGACTTAACGATGTTCTTAAGAAATTTACTGATTTACTTACAAATTCACAGTAGGAATCGGTACCACCTCAAACTGGTATCACTTGCGATCCAATAATCCATGTTATTTTCACTACTGGTCCTGCTGGAGGTGTTAAGGTCTCAACCACAGTATCTGCTCATGGCCAAGACACTCAGCACCTGACTAGTTCAACGCATACTGTTTCGATATGTGACAAACCCTATGGAGAGCTCAGTGAACAGCCTCAACACAGGCAGAACTGCAGCCTCACTCTTCAGGAAGTCAGTTATCTGGTGGCACCAAGTCGCCACAGAGCCCATGCAGAGGTTAGCTGAGGACTGCTGGAGCTGCCAAAATGCACGCTGACGTTCAAGTGCACACACTCACCTAGAGAACAGGCTGCAAGGTTCTTACACAAGCACTAGTTGTTCTTATTTTTTCAGCACAACAAACTAGGTAACCAGTTTCCCAGGCATTAGAAATTAAGAGGTCTAAGCTAAAAATGCAAACACAGGGGCAGCAACAGAAAAAGAAAGATGACACCCATAGGTTAAACACAAAAACTACATAACTGGAGGTTACATAGTTAAGGAGCAGTAATTCTATATATTTGAATTACGATACAACACAGAAATTAATGTTTATTACTTTAATCCTGGTCATCAAAAACAAAGACCAAAAACACAGATTAAACTACTTTAGGTCTAACAATGTTCAAAGAAAGTATATGACACTTTATAAAAAGAGTCAATCTAATAATTAAAAATTAAGTATTACATCTATAAAGAGTTAACTTTCTACTCTTTGTAGAATAAACTTATCATTCCCAAATAACTACAGGGTTGCTGACTCTAAGCTACTAATAATTGCCAGACATTCAGGTATCACTATAATTATGATAAAGCATTCATTCTGAAACAAAACCTGGACCCACTGTTCATCAGCTAATTGCTGGTAACACTATCCAAGCACACTATGGACACCACACCGAGGGCCCCGGTGTACCATAACCATGGACACCATAACTAAGGATGCTGTAACAGGTGACCTACTGTTCGTTAACAGACCTCCATCAAGCTTCATTACCACATGCCCTCAGGGACCCTGTATTAAACTGGTTCCTATGTGAGACTGTTTTAGGAGGTTTTTGAGATATTAAGAACTCTATATTGTAGGATTTAGAGAACAGCACTTGAGAGTGAGAACATTCCCGGCATTGGTTATACACAGCTCTAAGTCGGAGCCTCTGCCTTGGTAATAAGCAATTGTATGACTGGAATGCTTTATGCTCAGAAACTCATTTTCTTGATTTGGTAAATGGGAATAATAGCTTCCACTTTCTATGCTTCTTAAGGAAGAATAAATCAGATGACATACCTAAAGTCCAATGTAGATTTTAAAAAACCCAGCTATCATGATTATCACATGGGATAGGGAAAGGAATCTTAATTCACATTAGGACAAGTTTGGGAAGGTGTATGCTATATTATTGACCCAGGAAAAACGTCTAAAGAAAAGGGCAGGCAGCTACACATAATGGGCAGAGTGTTTTATATTTTTAAGTAGCAGAAGCTCTCTGACTCACAGGAGTGGTTCATGGAAAAGTAGACTGAAGTGAGGACTTGTTAAAAAGTATTCTCATATGCTGTATAGACATTAACTTAGTGACTAATGCACATGTCCTACTGTGGGGCCAGGCCTTCTCCCCAAGTAGAGGCTCACTCCCTGGGGCCTGGGGCTGATCTCCCGGCACAAACAATCCCCACTGCAGTGTCTGCAATGGCCAGAGGCAGCCATTTCAGTGTAAAACAGGGACAGAAGGACATTTGGAAAGCAATTTCTTCCAGATTCCTATGATCTAACCCCTCCAATCGTTATGGTTTATTCGTTCAAATTCAGTAACAATTTTGTTTAAAGGTGAGCTTAGGTGCTTAACGGTAAGCACCTAAGCTGCCACCTCACACAATTTCAAAACAACAACTAAAAGACAGAACGAACATCATCCAAAACCGCAGGAAAGCTGGCGGAGTGGGAAATCCACAACTAGAAAGGAGAGAGGTTCACAGATCAGGGGAGCCGCAAAGCCTGAGGTAGGGAGACGCTTATGCAGAGAGGAAGGGCGGCCGAGTGCCGGGCTGGCGGGAGGGGAAAGGAAGCCCCAGACTGCACTGAACCCCAGCCCTGGCCGAAACCCCGTGGACCCAGGCTCATATGGGTGGAGTCTGGACTGCAGAGGAAGGCATCTGGAGACTCAGAGACTGGGAGACTCGGGAGAGCTGGGAGCCGCAGCGGACAGGGTCTAGAGGTACTCGCGCGTGTGCCAGCGAATGCACCGGAGAGGTCTGACTGCAGAGGCTGCTGCGACCTCTCCATAGCGGAAGGGGTCGGAAGCTCCAGACTGCACTGAATCCCAGTTCCGACTGCCCTGGGATTAAATATATTATACAGAGACCCAACCCAATTCTGGGCGAGCCCCTGGGGCACCCACGCTCTTACAAGGGGAATCTAGACTGTCAGGTGGAAGGAAACTCAGGGGATCCATGGAAGGCAGAGGTCTGAGGTGCACGCACAAGGGCAGGGCTGACGGGAAGCCAAGACTGTCAGCTCAGCCCTGAGACTCCGCCCCATCCAAGCTAAATGTACTTTTCAACTCTTCACCAAAACTATTCCCACTGCTTTGAGAAGACATGGATCTGGCCCCAACTTGGCAAACTGGCATTATGAGAGAAATTGGCATATTTTCTGTCTTTTTTAAAACCACCAACTAAAGTTCAATAATCTACCTTTTGAAATATCTCAGCTTTATGGAATCACTATTAAAGCACTTGGAAATGACTATACTTACTCTCCATCCACTTCTGGTCTTGTACACACACAATGAAACTTGCCGCCAAAATCGATGTAAAGATCATTCTCCACAACATGAAAGACCCGCCCAATGACGATTTTATCCTTGGCAGGTCCCATCTGAGTGAGCGGAGAATGTCTCAGCATGGACGCGAAGGATTCCACGCCTTTCGGAGAGCCCTAAATAGGAAAAGAGGTATTTATGTGCATATAATTCAATATAAAATACAATATGGTGGGTATAAAATCTTACTGGGGAAATTTAAAAGTCAGTTTGCTGTATATTTCCATTTTGTAGCAATGGTAAAAGAGATTTACACAGGATTTTGCTTTAAAAAGCCAGGTATACTCTTCAACTTCATTTTTTCCTTTTATTTCGTGAAAGGGCCCAGGGTGGCCGGCTGGCGGAGTGGAACCGGGACTCTGAGCCGGTTCGGAGTGGCTTGGACAAAGCCTCCTGCCTGGGAGGAGGGGGTCTGAGTCTGGGAGGAGGGATCCCAGGAGGCCACGGACTTACTCCTAGTACTGACCACCTGCAAAAACATGCCTTCCAACTCAGCCTAGGGAAAGTGACTGTTCTTGTAATACAATGTTCACACATTAGATAAAAATGATTAATCCTGCAATTAGCAAGCTGAACATGAGCGCATAATGCAATATTTTTAATGGCTTGACCCTGTTATAATTTTATTCAAAGGAAATAGCTTCTTTAATTGTTTTGTGCTGTCCGTTTCTAGTAGTTTCACATACTGGAGTTACTGAGGGATGACTGAACGAATAATGCAGGCTGATTACTTTTTTAAAACTTACATTTTTCCCAAACCTATTCCAGGGCCTGAATTCTGGAGGCAACAAATACCTTATCTGAACATGCCATTCTGACCGGGGCCCAGAACAAGACAAGGCTCTGCAGCAGCTCCAGCCACCAGGCAGCTCATCTGCGCGGCCTTTACAACCCGGCCGGAGGGTGGGAGGGGTGTGGGTGGGGGTGCCTGGGCGTCTGTGCCTCGTGCCATGCAGAATGGAGGCTGACAAGCCTCTCCAGGTGACTCTGGGTGACTGAAGGACAGTGGTGAAGGCAGAGCCACACTGAGTTCACGTGAATGGTCATTCTGCCTGGACAAAGACAGGGCCAAGGTATGAGTCTATGCTGATTTGTGTGAAGTGCCTCGTGATTCTGCTGGATGGTCAGGGATTTAGAAGGAACATAATTGGAAACTAGATGACAGGTGGTCCGGGAAAGACATGTAGCTACCACAGATCTCTCTGAATGGGCAGAGTGGAAGAACGAATGAGTCACATGGGAATGATTTCTCCAGCAGAGAGGAAGCTTAATAATCAGGGGACAGAATAACCAGTCCCGTGGACATCAGCCAAGCTCTTTCCCCTCCCAAATGGGTTCAAGTGCACAGAGGCCTGGCAGCAGGGATGTGCTCCTGTGGCGGGGCCAGAGGGGAATCTCACCATGTCCTGGGCCACATTTCCCCAGGCTGCAGGACCCTGAACGTGTGGGATGGAGGTTATGTATGGATTCAGAAACACTGCCTCATACCCACCCAGCACTGCTGAGTGACCCACCGCCACTAAGCTTCCAACACAGCCGCACTCCCAGGAGGACCAGCCAGCCACCTGGGGGCCACTCTATCTGAATATCTTATCACTGGAATAGACACTCTGAACATGGATTTGCCTTCCCTACCCACAAAGCTTCCATCAAAACCACCATCCATAAACGAAGAGAATTCCATAGTCATTGTCATGATATGCCACACAGCACTGCTTCTAACCAAAGATCATTTTACAAGAAATGATGTAGGATAATGGGGTTGGTCTTTCCAGTGCTGGGCCTGACAGACTAGTGAAATGATTTTTTAAATTAAACTTCTTATTTGAGACCATTGTAAATACGCATGCAATGGTAAGAAATAACACATGGAGATCCCCGCACCTTGTCCCTGTTCTCCCAATGGTAACATCTTGTAAGACACAGTATATTACACCATAGCATTCGGATTTCATACAATTTTATCACATGGGAAGGCTCATGTATTTGCCACCACAGTCCAGTTGCAGGACAGTTCTAGCGCTACATTTTGCTCTCCATCTCCCTTCTGCCCACCCCATCCCTAATTTTCAGTAACTATTACAGTAATCTGTTCCCCATCTCTATAATTTTGTCATTTCAAGAATGTCACTCAAATGGAATCACAGGGTCCGTAACCCTCTGGGACTGGCTTTTTTCACTCAGCATGATTCCCTTGAGATTCATTCAAGCTGATGTGTGAATCAGCTGCTTATTCCTTTGTATTGCCAAGCAGTATTCCATGGCACAGATGGACCAGTTTAATCACTGATCAGCTGAAAAGGTATCTGGGCTATTTCCAGTTTGGGCTATTACAAGTAAAGCTACTATGAACATCTGTGTACAGGTTTTTATATGAACGTAAGTTTACATTTTTCTGGTATCAATATTCTCTGCCACGGTTTGCACTTATTTTCTGTGAAAACCCAATGTCTCAACGAGGCCAAGACACCTGTTGAGAATCCTACTCTTAGATGGGGCATCTACCATTCATGCATCCTCTGCCAACTTCCAACACCAGAGTACCCAAAGCTTTACACTGCATCAACACTGTTGAATTTTATTCCCAAATCCTTACCCTACAAACCAGGCTCCTTTATTTCCCATTATTTAATCCTGATCAAAACAAACTCAAGAGTTGTAATCATGTTACAAAACTTAATGTAAATAAAAAATTTAATATGACATTTAAAAGAAAAGTCAAAATAAAACAAAGCCTACACACATTAAAAGGATAACAAGGCCCTAACCAGATTGGCTCAGTGGATAGAGTGTCGGCCTGCGGACTGAGGGGTCCCAAGTTCAATTCCAGTCAAGGGCATGTACCTTGGTTGTGGGCACACCCCCAGTAGGAGGTGTACAGGAGGCAGCTGATCAATGTTTTTCTCTGTCCCTCTCCCTTCCTCTCTATATAAAAAAAAAATCAATAAAATATATATATTTTTTAAAAAGGAGAGTGAGATTTTCAAGCAAAAATTAGACTCAAGAAAGATATAAAAACAGTAAAAGCTAATGCTAATTTGAGAAGTCATAAGAGTCTGCTGCTTAGAAACAAATCATATGATCACCCACAAAACAAATACATGCAGAATGTATCGACTTTTTCTTTTAGGAAATGTACAGTATTATTTATAAACATTTTATTGATGTTGACAAAAACTTACTTTCCCTAGAGATTCATATCTACTTCAACACACTCTTTCATTATTTTTGTATTAACTGGTCATTTCTTTTAAACACGCTTTAAAAATGTTAGATTCCACTTTGAAACTAAAGATTTCAGAAGATTTTTATTACAAACTCAGAAATAATACTCCTAGAATTCCCTAATGCAAAACCAGCAGCACTATGGTTACACACAAATATTTTTCATCATTCCGTTACATATTAGTTTTTTAAATATTGATATAATTTTTAAAGTTGTCAATATAAAATTGGTGAGAAAACAAAAGGTTAAATAAAACTATTGCTACTACCTGAATTTAACAGACTTAAAACATATTCAAGCCAAAACCAGTTTGGCTCAGTGGATAGAGCGTCAGCCTTAGGACTGAAAGGTCCCAGGTTCAATTCCGGTCAAGGGCATGTACCTTGGTTGCGGGCACATCCCCAGTGGTG